GGGGTTAGGTATAGATTTAGAATACAACCAGATAATTAAAAGCACGTCAGGCCCCAGTCAAAAAGGCCCCAGTTAGTTTCCAGTCGGCTGTAATATTTTGTTTGGTATAAGTAGTTTAAGGAAAAAGAGTGACTTCCTACTAAGTTTCTTGATATCTTTTGGAGAAAGTAAAATATTCATGTGGTTATTATCTAGTCCTTTCTTGAAATAAGAAAAGGGGATGAATATAATTGAGACTATTCCTACTTCTGGAGTCTCAAGTGTTCCTTGGTCGTTGCTTTAACTGGGCTTTCTCATGGTCAACCTACTCAGATTCAGTACTTTATAGGCTGCCCTTAGCATTTTCTACTTGAAGCAATAATGTGCTGCTTAAGTTAGCAGGTTCTCTATTTTAGGACATTAGTATCCTGGAGAGGTCAAGCTGTGATGTCATTCACCCTCACTGGGTACCTCCTACTCATTAATTTCAACTTTCAGTAATTGTCCTGGGATGTGTCCTAGTTGTGCAAATTAGAAGCTAGTTAATATAAATCTAAGTTACCCACTACTGTGTATTACCTAAAACATAATTTCTATATTTGTTTTCCATTTATCCACCTAAAAATGAATTTACATTTTTACATGCACGTGTCCCTAGCCTGCCATGATACCCACTGTCAAGTTGATTCTTCAGCCTAGGGAGTCATGATGCAGAGAGCTTTCAAAGTCTAGAGAATAGGTTTTAAATAAGACTGTTGTGCAGTATCTGTATTTTAGTAAGAATCCTTTGTATTTACATTACATAGCACCTTTCATCCAAGAGTTTAAAAGTGATTTCACTTTATAGCATTATTTGGTGGCAAAACCTAAGTTAATGGTGGCTAAGTTAACCAAGTTTCCTAATTTCCATTTAATTTCTGGTCAACTATACATTCTGTCTTTTCATTAATGGTCTTTCTGAAAAGTAGACTTTGAACACAACACTGCTACTGGACTACCAAAAAAAAAAGATATATATATATACACGAGAGAGAGAGAGAGAGAGAGAGAGAGAGAGAGAGAGAGAG